TATGTTATTGTTCTGAGGGGAAGGTCCATTGCTTTCATCAGGTTGTCATGGGGCTACTCTAGAGTTTTCGTAGTCTCATGGTAAATAATACCACATCATATTTCATTCTTGTAATTAATTTCATTCACATGCCTATGTTATAAGCGAATAGAACCTAAAAAGCTGTGTGCTCAGAGCAGTGTTCCCCAACGTGTTTTATAGAGCTTCTGGATAAACATTCTCTGAAGTGTCTCTTAAAAATACAGATCCCTGGGTCTACACCAGGCCAGCTAAATAATAAGTTGTGGAGGTAGGGCACAAGAATTTGCATTTTAAACTTACCAATGGATCCTTAGGCATTCTGGTTTAAGAACCAGTATGATAAAACCAAGGAGAAAATGAACTCTTTCAAGGGGAGAAAATTAGTTTTGTTTTTATTTATTTTTTTAATGGATTAATAGTAACTAACACGAAACACTTACTCCCTGCCAGGTGCTGTCCTAAATGTATGTTATATGGTTTAACTATTTAAATGGCTATAACAATCATATATTATTCAGTGTGAGGAAATTGAGACACAGAGAGGTAAATAGACCAAAGACACATAGTAAGTGGTAAAAGTGGGATTTAAACTCTGTCTTGGCTCCAGAGGTCAAGCTCCTAATTGCTACCCTATATAGTTTCACTTAAGAGAGAATATTTTTATTAGTTTCCTGCAGGTTTTTTGTTTTGTTTTATAGTTATAAAAAGTGTTGATTCTTAATATTTATTATTATTCAAAGCTTCACTTTGAAGCAAATATTAAAAAATCAGTTTTTCTTCCCAAATGAATAGCTGAAAGAATATGTATGAAAGAAAACATTTTCTGGAACACATAGTTAAAACAACGACATCAAATTAAAAACTTTGATATGATACTGAGCAAAATTTAAAACACTTTAACATTTGTTGATGTGGGTGGTGTTACATTTTCTATACTGTTTCTGCATTTAAACTTGTGATGGCAAACCACAAATGTTTTAAAAAGAATCAATATTTGAAATGATTTTTAAAACTCTGACTTATTACCTGAAGGAATATTCAGTTTAAATGATTTGGAACTGTAGTTGAATCCTACATGATGTTTTTGGATCATCTACTATTCAGAAAGTGGTACGTGTTCATCATTGTGATCCCTGAGATGTAAATTATACTGATTTTCACCTTTCCTGAATTATTTTGGTAATGTTAACTTATATTACCATAACATATTAAAATTCTTTTACTTCATACAACCAGCAAGGAAAAATAAGCGACTCTACTCCTCAGATATATCAAATATTTTCTGTATCAGATATGTGAATACAATTATTCACATTACCTAAGCTAGTTTTTATATTTAAAAATCACAAAAAGTAATTTCCCAGTTTGCCAAAAGTTTTGACTATTAAAGTCTGACAAATTTATTTCCACACAAAAATTAAAGGGATGTTTATTTTATTAACTCCTTCATAAGTAAGAATATAGGTGAGAAACTATGGCTTACAGAATTGACTAGCCCAAAGCCAGTCAGCTGATTTAGTGGCAGAGTAAGTTACTGCATCACTAATTTGATATTTTCTTCTATTTTAATTTTTAATATTTTGTATTTTCAATAGCTGCCCATAGCTTAACATGCTGACATAAAACTAACAGGTTGTTGCTTTGTATTGATGCCTGACACCAGTAATCTACTTTATTGGAACTCTTATCCATGTGAACTCTCCTGAGTTCACAAAGTGAGTCTCTATGAAAAATGATCATACTGAATAGTTAACAATTTATTATTCATGTGTTAGGACAGTATCCAGCACATCTCAGTGCTCTTTAAATGTTTTTTAAGTAAATACAAAATTTGGAAGATGTAAACATTAAATCCAGTAGTTTCTCTGTTACTTCGTTTACTGTTAATTCACCTCAGGCAAAGCCACTTTTTATGTTTATAAAATAGGATAGTACCATCTAGATCCTAGCTATTACAAAATGAATTAATATTTGTAGTGTTGTGAGGTCTCTAAAGGAATATGTGATACATCTGGAGAAATATGACTTAATTTTTTCCACTTTCCTTGATGAAAGATTTTTCTTCCTTTAAAACATTTTTTTTCCTTAGCACAACTTTATACGTGGCAGAAATTCGACGTAGAACATTAAATACCTTCAACCTCTAACTTCATTTCCTTGTTTTTGTACTGTCCCAGATTTTCCATATCCCTTTATGTGCTCACTTACCCAGTGCTCCCCTCTTGTTCCAAACTTAGAATATTAATTTCTTAAGCATTTTTACATATACGACTATATTTTATTCTCTATGTTCCTGCAATGCCTAGGAATCACTACACTATTAGCTATGTGTTGAGCATCTGTATGTCACATGTGGATGCTCACAACCTGTGATAAGAGCCAACACTGGGAGTTCGCTGGTGGTCCAGTGGTTGGTGGGACTCCGAGCTTTCACTGCCGAGGGCCCGGGTTCGATCCCTGGTTGGGGAGCTAAGATCCCACAAGCCACACAGCGTGTCAAAAAAAAAAGAAAAAAGCCAAAGCCAACACTTATTAGGTGTTTGCTGTGTAACAGGCATTGTTCTAAGTGCATTACATATATTAATTCACTTTATCCTCATAATAATTCTATGAAGTAGGTACAACTACTACTATCCCCAGTTCAGATGAAAAAACTGAGGAAGAGAGATCAAGTAACTTGCCCCTAGTCACAGGTACTAATTGATGAAACTGGGGTAGGAATCTGGGTGAAGCCTGCTCTTCAATCAGAAAAACTCGAGTTTTCCACCTGTGTGTTTCTCCTTTACTGTCACACTATTACAACTCACAACACTTCTGATACTATGTTTCCCCCACCAAGCAATTCTCTGCAACACCAGCTGGGTGTCCTACAATTTAGCCAACTCTGACAGTCTACCTGGAGGTAGTGTCAGATCCCACAGGTTAAGGGCTCGGTCCCAAAAGACTGCCCCTAGTCCACTTTAGATACCAATCACAAGTCCAGGTTGTTATCTGTGCTTCTGACCGATGGACTTTAAGTCTGAGGTTCCCATAACTCCCACCTTGGGTTTGATTAATTTGCTAGAGTGGCTCACAGAACTCAGGGAAACACTTATGTTTACACTTTACTAAAGAACATGATGAAAAATATAGATGAACAGCTAGATAAAGAAGTACATAGGGTGAAGACTGGGAGGATCCCCAGCACAGGAGCTGCTGTCCCCATGGAGTAGGGTGCATCACCCTGCCAGTATGAGGATGTGTTCACCATCCTGGAAGGTCCCCAAACCCCATAATATCAGGATTTTGTGGACGCCTCCTCACATAGACATGACCAATTATTAACTCCATCTCTAGCCTCTCTCCCCTCTCTGAAGAACGGGGGTCTGGGGCTGAAAATTCCAAGCTTCTAATCACAGCTTGGTCTTTCTGGTGACCGGCCAGGAGCTCACTTAGAGTCACCTTATTAGAACAAATGCTGTTCCCACTGCTCCTACTACTTAGGAATTTACAAGGGTTTTAGGAGTTCTATGCCAGAAACCAATATATATATATTTTCTATTGTCTCACAGCTCTTAACCACTGTTATATGTATATACCTATACCCAAGGTAGGTATAGTACCATATAGCTGAAGAAAATGAGTCAGAGATCAAGTATAACTCAAAATCAACCTAGTAAGTTAACTCCAAAACCTGTACTTTCTTACTATATCAGAAAAGGAAGTATAGGATATGGCTCTTAAGCCAGAAAGGCTAGGCTGAAATCCTGGTTCTACCACTTAATAGCTATATGACCTTGAGAAAGTTACTTCTCTTTGCCAGTTTCTTCATCCTTAAAATATGGATAATAGAATTTACTACATAAGAGTTGTGAGGAATAAGGATATAAATAAAATGCTTACAAAAGTACCTTTGCACTCAATACAAACTTTTATTTCTAACTTTCCTTTTTTATTTATAAGAAAATAATCTGGCATGTACGCTACTCTGGCAGCAGTTGTAAGCCAGAAGTTAAAAGAATGAAGGCTCAAATTAAGCCGGCTCGGGTCCAAATCCCAAGCATATGTCCTTTAGGAAGTTAACCTCCGGGAATTTCAGCATCCTCATCTCTGACGGAAGAGAACAGTACCACTGCACAAATTGTGGTAAATGTTTTAATAATAAATATTAACCACTGACCATCTCTGCATTTCTAGCAGCTAGCACAGTGTTTAATGAATAAACAGTGACATAGGTAAGATGTCCTTTCTGTGCTTTCCTTCACTAGTCCTCTCATTTTCTCCCTGGCATCATCCTAAAAATTTTTAAGTTCACCATCTCATCTTTTCCCTACTGTAAAGACCAGAATAACTATAAAGAAAAATGTAATTTTGTTACCACCTTTAGTTACCACTTACCCAGTAGTAATCATACCAGATTTTCAGCAAGTGTACAAAGAGCACCCACCAGTACAGAAGGGGAAATGGAATTTTTATCTTACCACATTAAGGACTATTAAAAAATATTCACATTTAATGTAATTAAGGCATATCTCTTTCTGTTTTTAACCAAGTTCCTCTTCAGTCCTAAGCTTGTACCACAATAGAATGTACAAAATCCATAAGTTTACAGTAGACTCATTATTAACAAGTATGCTGCTCGAGAATTATACTTTAGGTAAATGAAATGTCAGAACTACATTATAGCCTGTCTTACAAATAAGATGATTGCCAAAGGTGCATTCTCTTCACTTTATGTGAAAAATTATAAAAGTACTATAAGTTTGATTGTTGCTCCACAACTAGCTGTGGAATTTCCCTAGGCTACTATTTGACAGAATGTTGGAGAACTTTTTTCATCACCATCTCTCTTCCCACGCACCCTCATATTGTTCCCGCAGTTCTTAGTATGATCTGATTCCAAATTAAAACACAAATAAATTAAGCAGTAACCCAAACAATTTTCTCTATTGACAGACTTTTAAAAATTTACGGTTAGGTATTAAATATTAATAATCATGTCACCAGTTAAAAATAAAAATTTATTGATCCAAAATTATTGCCAAAAAACTTAAGCCAAGCAAAAACTTTATTTAAGCTTAATGCTCTTTTTAACCCCTGCACGAATGCCAGATAGTTCACCACTATAACGTTGCTCTTCTCTACGAACTTCACGAACCTGCCCTCTTCTGCGAATTTTGGCTCTTCTGAACTTCTCCCGGTGTTTCACTCTGGGATTCCGATCAATCTTCTTTCTCCTAGGTGTAAGCCCCCTATTTTTAGCAATCTGATAAGTAATGGCTCTCTTTGCATTTTGAACTTCAAGAGCCTGTTCTTCAGTACTATCTTCTTTCTTTCTCTTCAATTTTTGTCCGTCTTCTATTTCTTTATAGTATTTCAGTGCAGCTTCATCAAAATCAGAATCATCAGAAAGGTCTGTAACAGCGGAGGCAGCAACAGCAGAAACAGATTTTGGCTTGGCCTTTGTGGATTTTTCTTTTAGATTCAGTTCTGCCTTTCCAGCATCATCTTTAAGTGTGAGCAGATGACGAATCTCAGAGGACAGCTTCTGATCCACAAATGACAGCTTGTTGATCAAATTTCGGTAGGTAACAAGCCTTTCTATGACAGGATGTCCATGTGCAGGGACTCTCCTAGCTTTCAGGATAAGATAAAAACTGATGTTGGAGCAGTAGTTCAAATAGAGGTTGTATTTGGTCCTCAGGTATTGGCTTCCTTTTCCAGGTGGAATGATCTTTTGCTCCACCAACTGTAGCAATGGCTCCAGCTCATCCTTCAACTCTGTCAACTTAACTTTCAGGTCATCTATCAGCTCCAAAAGCTCTGGCGATTCCTTTCGCAGCATCTTCAGCTTCTCTCTCACTGAAACTTTCGCCAAATCCTTCACGACCCGTGTCTCAACCTCATTTACCCGAGGTACTGGTTTTGCAAAGGCCTCCACCCAGGTAACTCCAAAATCATCCTCTTGCAGAGCTTGGGCTAAACGCCGCTGAATGAGCTGTGCCTCCTCTTCCTCCTCTCTTTCCTCTTCCTCTACTTCTTGTTGACTCTGCCGGCCTCGGGACTTGGAACCATAGTCCGTGTCGTAGTAAAGTTTTTTCCTCTGACCCCACGACAAACTGGGATCCACCGAGGCCTCAGCCTCACTCTGCATGGAGCTCCCACCATCATCATCATCCTCCTCCTCATTCCCCGCACTCTCTTCATCTTCATCGTCCTCATCGGCGATATCTAGGGCAAGAACCTCCTCCTCATCGCTATCCTCCTCCTCGGCCCCACTCTCCACTTCGCTCCATCCCTTAGCCAAGGCAGCCCGAGATCGGGCCTCATGGAAATCATCTACCTTATCTTGGTAGTAGCTGGAGTCCGCTGGTGAGGGTGGAGATTCCAAATTGTCATCATTTTCGTCCGCTGGGTCGCGACCTGCCTTAGCTCGCACAGCTGCCCACTTGGCCGCTCCGCGCCGCCGGGATCTCCCCACCATAGCTCGCGGTCTCAGCTTCTACAGCGACGTCTGGCTTTCGGTCACTTCTGACTTCCGCGCACGAGCCACGCGCTCCAGCAACAAGCCTCTATAACAGCCACGCGCGTCTGCGGGCACTCCAGTAGGATGCAGGAGTTTCCACCTCCTTCCGGCCCCCAGGATGCTCGCAGTGTGGCGTTTGAACCAGGACTTCCGGTTGGTCCTTCAGGCCTTTCCGTGTAGGAACAATAGGTATAGGAAGTTCAGTTCCGTAGAACCCTTTAACCCAGTTCTTACTCTCGCGAGGCTGGGCGTCGCTAGGGGGATGGCCTGGTGAACCGCGAGGTGATGTCGCCGTGACCATTGGAGGGCGCTTTACCTCCACGCCTAGGAGAGGTCACGGGGCGGTGCGGTGAGTTGTCCTGCGCCCGTACCGGTTGTCGCCGGCATGGAGCCGAGTCCGTGTAGATTTCCTTGTTTATTGGAATTGTTTTATCTTCTCTGCTTATCCGTCTGGAGGTTAATCAGGTTATTGTTGTCTCCGCAACGTCCAAATATGACATTTCTGGGCCCCGTAGCCTGAGGCGGCAGCGGCGCCACTGCGCTCTGGAATCCTGGCGCGGGCGTCCGGGAAAGCGCAGGCCGGGCCGCCGGGCGGGTGGTAGCCCGCCTCCAGCTACCTTTCCGCAGGGCTCGGTGACTTCATGGGATTTGTGTCCCTGAGGAGTTTCTGAGGGGTGACGGTGGGAAGGCAGAGCCGCGCTCTACAGTTTGCCTCTTTCCGAGGAGCTCAAGTAGGCTGCAGAAGGCACCGCGATTTCTCTGCCTTTTAGTGGAAGAGGTTCATTCCTCAAGATATTTTGGAAATGGCACATTTTAACTCTCAAGGGCGGACGCTTCATGAATTGTTCAACATTTAATAAGCACAGGGCAGCGAGCTAGGCTTTGGGAGAACAATGATGGGCGAAAGCAGACGCTGTTCCTGCAGTGGTGGAACTTGTGGTCTAGCTGGGGGCACGTGTTAATCAAGTCATCATGCAAAACGTGCCTGATTATAATTGGGGTGAGTACAGGGAACACTTGTCCTGTGTTACCCAGCTGCTGAAAATACTCAACCTGCCTTTTTAAATCGCTTTTTGTACTCGCCATCCATCCCCCTTTACTAAACAGTAAAGTGTTGAGTACTCCCGCCCAAATATGGGAAATTTCTGCTGTATTGAAGAGACAGTCTAAGCATCACCTCTTTGATCGCGTCTTTAATTCCCTTAGTCTTTTCCTCAGTTCTTCTGTATCACCTAGTAGACCTCAACGAACTATGATATTGCAAGCACGCAATACAGTGTCTGGCACAGAGTAAGTGTTCAATGAAGATTTGTTTAATGAATAAGTATTGAAATTGCAGTATTTGATTATCTATTTCAGGTGCTCCATAAACGAAGGGAATGAATAATGCATAAGGCTGCAAACATCCTTAAGGGAGATAACCTGAGCTGGAATGGATTTTAGGAGTCATGAATTCCAATTCCAGCATCTTCATTGTATACATGTGGAAACAAAGACTTGGGAAGGTTACATTAGCAAATCGAGCACAGAAACCTGGGATAGGGCTCCCACACCAGGCCCTCACATTCAGCTGTTATCAGTCCTTTGCTAATTCAATGTGAATGAGTTTCAGACCTTTTCCAGGGCATAGGCTAAGCTGGGTGGATGAAAGAAACCAAGAGCTCAGATGAAAGTGTTTGAAGAAGAGGGTGGTAATAAGGGAAAAATCAGTCAAATTTGTCTTTAGAAGTATTTCTAGGACTAGAAGTGTGAAAGGACTGCCCTGCAATCTTAGAGTAATTCAGGGTTTAAGTTTTCAGACATTACATATGATAGGTTCATATTCATTATATATGTTAGGTATTATGACACCTTCAGATGTGGGTAGTTGAAAGCTGAACTTTTGATAAGTTGCTAAAATTAATGGCGACATACAAGTTCTTTGCAGAAAGTGCAGTGTCGTTAGGTTATGAAAAATAGTACAATTTTTTAGAAAAATGATATTTTGAACTAAATATTTTTAAAGTGTTAAAAGTTATCTTAAGCATTAAAAAACCTTTACAAGATTTTAGGAAATACAATTTAAATAATAAAAAAGGTGTGGGTAAAAGTCTTATGTTCTGATGGTAAGCCCAGAATTCATTTTTGAATGTAAATTTTAATAGCTTTTGTCATTCAAATATTAACTGCTTATTAATTGTAGCAGAATGCTACATGCTGTAGTAGATCTAAAGGTGAATTAGCCACAGTCTCTTCTAATGAGGTAGAAAAGAAGACATGCATACAGATTATACTAAAATACAAGGCAGTGTGAGGTAAACCCAGCGCTGTGAGAGATCAGAGGTGAGAGATCGTCTCTGGATTTTGTTCTGGAAATGTTGCTTAAAGAATGTTGCATTTAAGCTGGGACTGTGATTAGATCCATGCTTTAAATGTATTAAATTTACATTATATGTAAGCATTAAGTTTTACTCAGGCACGTAAATCTCAATTTTTCTGTTCATTTTTATTGCTAATTATTTGAGAATTTGTAGTCATACTTAACAAAATGCGTATACTGTTATAGAGAAGGTAGAAAAATATTTTGGATATTTTTAATGGAATGATCACATTCCTCTAATATTATTTGGTTTATACTATACATTACATTTCCTAACTATTTAAAATAAAGTTGCAATAACCAGTGCATATTCAGAGAGTGTTGTACTCTAACATTCTCAGATCTTTTTGATGAACAGTTCAGAAGTTAGTTCTTCCATTCCAGCAGCTCCCATAGTCTAATCTTCCATAGCCTAATCTTGGAATTATTTGCCATTTGTTGAGGAAATTGTTTTCTTAAAAATTTGTATTGCTGTGACTTACCTGGTGGTCCAGTGGTTGGGACTGATCACTTCCACTGCAGGGGGCACGGGTTTGATCCCTGTTTGGGGAACTAAGATCCGGCATGCCGCACCGCCAAAAAAAAAGAAAAAAAAATCCTATTGCTGGAAAGACAGATTAATGCTTTATTATATGATAAGCCTATGCCAATTAAAAAGAAAAACAGAGTCCCCAGAGAAAATGCACAAATATTAAATAACATTTAACCATTATTTTTGTGGCAACTATAATGTATTATCAACTTGAATCTCTATTACATTATTGTGATGCCTGCTCAGGAGTTAGCACACTACACATAATGAGAACCAACAGGTTTCTTTTCTTTCTTTTCTTTTTTTTTAGAATACCCTTTTTGCCTTATTCTAAGCCTCTTGTAGGATTTTCTTACTGTAGAGGTAGGGGTTTATGAATGACACACTAAGTGATATTAGGATACTTTCTTCACGGCATGAGTTCAAGTTGTTTAAGATATTCTACCACCAGATTAGCTTAAACTGATCTCAGTTTCTTCTGGACTTGCAGCAATAATAATAGCTAACATTGAGAGTAGTTATTATGTTCCAGTACTGTTATAAGCTCTTGACATTTAACCCTATGAGGAAGTACTATGATAATCTCTAATTTAGGAAACTGAGGCACCTGGAGTTTAAACGAGGTCTTAAGACTGGTAAATGGTAGAACTAGATTTGAACCCAGACAGTCTGGCTTTGGAATTCACACTATACTATAGCTAACTACTGTACTATATTGGCTTTCAAATATTCCCTTAATAGGTCTTTTCATTTCCAGTCTCTGCTATACATTTGATTCAGCATCATCAGATAAATCTTCCTAGAATACCATTTCCCTCATCCCACACCCTTGCTCAAAATGCTTTAATGACTCTCCATTACTGTCAAGATAAAGTTCACAACATACATGGCCCTCCCACAGTTTTGCCTCAAAGCAACCTTTCTCGCCATACCTTTCATTACCTCCCTACTAAAATCTTCCATTTTAACTTAAATGCTCTACCACTCTTTATTCCCCAAACGTTGCTTTGCGATTTCCTCCTCTGTTTCTTTGCTCATCTTTTCAGTGTTCTCATAATTCCTTATGTAAAAAAGTTGCAAATCACTACAGACATCTTTTTGGTTAAATTCTCACACAGGTCCATAATGGGACCTGTATGAGGCTGTTTGCAAAGCTATTATTGATAGCAGGGTGTTGGAGACAACCTGGATGTCCATCCCTGGAAGAGCAGATCAATAAATGTCATGGGTGAACAGTATGGAATTTAGGAGCATAAAGTGACCATACAGCTTAGTTTGCTTAGTACAGTCTTGTTGAACTTGTTATTCTAGTGTAATTATTAATAGCAACCCTTTTTTACTTTTATGATTTAGATGATAAAGTATATGGTCATCTTAACTATGCAATAATTGGAAAGTGGATTATATATCCACATATCAGCATGAACGGATCTTAAAAACAATGTGCTTAAGAACAAAAGTAAAAAAAATGAGATATGTAATACAATGTGTGCAACAATACAACAGCACACATTTTGTAAGAACATATACAAACAAAATAATGTGCATTAAATACAAAAGAACAATTGCTTATGGAGGAGCAAAGAATGGGATGAGGCTTGGAGATTAGAGGAAATATGAGAGGTATCAATACTTTCCATGGACCAATAATGATAATGTGCCAGGAACTGAGGAGAATGGTTAACTGTTTGCATCTGAGGTTAAATTAAAAATAAGGAAAACAAAACAAATAAGCAGACAAAAAATGACCATATATGTCTCTAACTTAAAGTCCTTTAAAAGCTTCCCAACATCTATAGGATCAAGTTTATATTCCTTATGACCTGACTCCTGCATACAGCTTAAGCTTTACCTCCTACCACACTCTCACTGCTACTATGTACGGCATAGCCTTGTATATGTACACAACATATGTACAATAGATGTAAATATTAGGCTAAGAGCTAAAGCCTTTATTGTATAGCAACTGAGGGCTGACTAGAAAAAAAATTTATGTGGGTTGTGTTTCAAAAAGCTTCACCATCAAAACTACAGTTATCATTGTATCAATAATTAATATAAAAATAATTGTATCTACCAGGTTCCTCCTTAACCTGGTACAGGCTATGCTTTTTCTTGCTGCCTTTCCTTTACACATATTGTTTTCTTCTATGCTTTCTAGAGAATTCTTACTCATCATTTAAGGCTAGTTTTTTTTTTTTTTTTTTTTTGGCCACGTGGGAGCTTAATTTCCTGAACAGGGATCCATCCCGTGTCCCCTGAATTGAAACCTCGGAGTCTTAACCATTGGACCACCAGGGAATTCCAAGACTAATTTTAAATGTCACCTTAAAAGCCTTTCCTTG